CGCGCAGGGTCAGCCAGAGCCTACGGAGCTCGAATCGGCAGAGGAAGAGATCAATGACGAGGAGATGTCTCTGTTTGACCTGCACATGCCCGGAGTCATGACTCTGGATGAGGTAAAGACGCTGGATCTGGACCGCTCGCTCCTCCTCGTGCGGGGCTCTCTTGTTCAAATGATGGTAAGAGGGTTCCATTGCTGGCGCATCCAACCTCGCTCGCTAATATGGCTGGACTCTAGGATCTCGTAGGCTGGGAACGAATGCCTATCGATAATCCCCAATCCGTTAAAGGTATTGTGGCCGAACTCGCCGCGGTGTTGGGTAAGGAAGTTTTCAAGGATTGTGCGGTGGTTTTGTTCGATTGATAGCACCTGGGTTTACATTTACAGTGAGACATGCGCGCTGTCTAGTCTTCAAGGTATTACTACTAGGATAATCTACGTAAAAATGAGCAATGCAGTGGTTTCGACTAATTCGTATGTATGACACTAGTGTATTAGCTCAGGAGTCTCGTGTCAAGAGTAAACATATAGAGCAAAGTGCGGTTCATAAAAACAATGCTTGTTGAAATCAAAACCCCGACCGAGACGCCTTCCATTATGATACAGTGACTGAAAACCGAAATGCTGCCATCGCAATACAAAATGCCCCATGCATGCCAATACCAGAACAAAGACACCCAAATGCATCGAGACAAAGACCAACGAAAAGCAATCAATGCATCAGCTCAACCGGAGGGCGCGCCGTCTTCGGCGGCAGCTTCTTAACCGACATGTCAATCGGACTCATCTCGATATCCTCATCGTCGGCCACGACGGTCGTATCCTCAACCATCACAGCCGGTAAACCAGGACTGCCACCATGATCCTCGGGATTGTAGATCAGCGTACTACTCCGACTCCGCTGCTGCGACATGGCCACGGGCCAGCTCCCCGTCCGCTTCTCGTCGGACATCGACATCGGCGTCCCGGGATCAACAGGGGCAGGGGCAGGGGCAGGCTGTTCGGTCTTGAGCTGCGCAAGCGCCTGGGCGAGATCACTGGCGTGGACCTCCTTGTTGGGCGGCTCCTCGGTGCGCATGACCCAGCCGTGTGGGGGGCTCGGAGGCGGACTGATGAAGAAGAGCTTGTCGAGGTGCGGGGCCTCGAGGAGTTTGGGGCGGCCCTCGTCGTGGAGCGGGGTGGGTTCGCCGAAGTAGATCTTTGTGCGGACATTGCGGTTGAGCAGGGCCTGACCATCGAGGAGCTTGCGGACGCGGAGGGCATCGTCTTCTGAGTGGAAGGAGCAGACGATGCGGCGCATGGAGGGGAGCGGGGAGAAGGAGTTTAGGGGGGCGATGGACTCGATTTGGGAGCGGATGGAGGCGAGGGAGGACGGTTGGAAGAGGTAGAGGTCGTGGAGGTCGGTTATCAAGAGGGTGTTTGATGGGGGAGTTGGCTGTGAGAGAGGAGGTAGATTGGAGAGGTCGAGCGAGAGAGCTGGGCGCGACGAGGTCGAGGAGTGGGAGGTGCGGTGGGCGTGGAATGAGGGCGACTGAGGGAGGGAGTGTGGTGGTGATGTTGTTGTTGTTGTTGTGTTGTCCGCCATGACTGTTTTGGTTGCTTTGTTTTCCGCAATCTAAATTGGTTGATGCAGAGTTGCGAGGATGTTGAGCTGTTTATAGGTGGTAGATGGCAGATGGATAAGCAACTTTTGTATATGACCGATGGTTGCCACCGAGTTTAAGGCCGCAAATGGCGACTGATGGAGGGTTCAGGGGAAGAGAAAACCTTGATTGGGAGAAAAGTTAATAATGAGATTGTTCGTTCTTATTTGAAGTTGATGTGGAATGGTAAAATACTACTCAACGTTCCGTTCCCAGCCTTTTAAAAAAAAAAAGATCAACGGTCAACCCCCAAGAGTTGCTGTGAGGCGCAGCCAAACACACATGAGTGTATCGCCATGGGCTTCGGATGCGGCCTCCTCGGAGGCTCCGCTATGGGGGCTTTGCTTGCCTCGTTCGTAATCACAGAGACAAATTCTAGACTATGGATCTACCTACAATAAGTACTAGTATCTGTCTACCTTGCTTTGATTTTCATTTTCCGTTCCTGAAGATCCATCCAGCGTTACTTTCGTATTGACATCCACTTCCTATTTGGGTGAATTTCTCGCTGGTTCGATAGGTGCGGCTTTTGCCACGCCAATAATTAATTCCACAAGTGGACTTCTCTGTGTGGCTTTTACTTCCATTGCTCGGCGCTGCCTAGTACACTTGCACAGAGACATCGTGGACGTAATTCTTGCCACCAATTGCTTTAGTCGTCGACTTTACTGTGATATCGATCGGCTGAATGTTTCCGATGCGCAAGGGAAGATTTCAACCCTAACCCCCTATGCCAAAGCTGGCAGGTTCTCACTTAACTACGACCAACATCCATGGTCATCATATCATTTGACATTGCAGCCTTTGCCATTATTATAGAGTCTATATATTCAGATTTTGGGATTATGTGTACCTTTCTACCGACCAGGTCATTAGGCGGGATAGTCTCCGCATTTACTTCGGTGCTGATTTCTGGGTCAGTATGGAGTACCCGTATATGGGTCTGCTCCGCCTCTAGAGTGGATGTGATAGTTGATAACACAGCAGTAACTGCCACGAGCTCGAAAGTTCTTCACTCATGTGGCTTTGACGGATGATGGATCGACACATGCACATATCTCTGATCAATTTGGCTTGATGCAGGCTCAGTGGGACGCGAGTGGCTGGTCACCACTCTCTTAGATACTTCTTCCTCCCATAGCCCCGGAATCTCATGGTTACTTGGCATGATGACATTCCTCTTGAAGAACGGTCATGACTACGCCGAGGAACTCTAATTTCACTATCTGATCTAACATGGTCCAATGTCTGCTCTTGATGATGTCTTTTGGAATGTCGCCAGTCACCTGGGCCAACCTTGTTAGTATGCATCTCAGATGCTCAGCCCTCGTCACCAAGGCTCAACATCTCAACCAGCCTCCGGGTCTTCCATATGATGATTCTTACTCTCAGAATCAAAATAGGTGAATTCGTCTGCCTACTTTCACCAGAGAGCGCTGCTGCTTGGCAGACACCGATTTTGGCTTAGTCCGGACCTGTGTCTTCGGGACACTGGTAGTCGTACGGCATAGCCACGACTACAACACTATGGACTCCGCAATGCGGAAGACGGATCGCGGAGTCTGCTTTGTTTGATATTTGCACTTCGGGCTCCGTACACTAACTTCTGGGACAAACGCCTTGCTAAACTCAGTGAAGTACTATGCAACAAGTCGCATGCAATGTTTGGCAGCATCTATCTAAAGGGTCTGGACAGCTCTGAATCGATCGGCAGTGGCACGTTTTGTTGCCTCAATGTGCGGCGCATAGACCTCAAAGGCATGAGGTAAGCCAGGGTATACATGTAGTTCTACACTGATGTTGGCGGATGCTATTCTGGCCGCGTAGGCAATATCTTCGTCTCGAAAGATATCCAGTTCGCCGACATCAATGTACGTGGGCGGCAGGCCTTGCACGCTCACTGCGCGCGCGGGCGCAGCATACTGTGAGACACTGTCCTTGCCAATGTCGGTCCCCAGAAGCGCAGTCCAGGCAGTGATATTATCATTACAGTCCCATAGAGCGAAAGGTTCCAGTTCAGGATTAGGCACCGTGTTACGGTCATCCAGCATGGGGTAAATGAGGATCTGCTTGGCAATCGGAGGCGCCAATCCTCGATCGCGGGCCATTAGAGTGATTCCCGCAGCCAGCAGTCCCCCGGCGCTCTCGCCCATCGTGGCTATGCGGCTGCAGTCCACGGAAAACTCGTCCGCATGTTCGTACAGCCAGGTGAGTCCAGCGTAGCAATCCTCCACTGGCGTCGGATGAGGGTTCTCAGGCGCCAATCGGTAGTCTACCGAGAAGACCTGAACACCGGTCTGTTGGACTTGGATGGAAAGAGGCTTGACGAACAAGGCGACATCGCCTTGTATAGTACCGCCTCCATGGGTGTGTAGCACGGCTGGACCAGCAGCAGCTGGAGTCGACGTCTTCTTGAAGAACCGATGGACTTGGATGGTATAGCCGTCGTACGATTTCACTGGGTAAATACTATGTTCCACGTCGGGTGCCAAAGGCAGCTTGTCAAACATGGCTTTGTAGTTGGCCGTAATGTTACTTCTCCGAGTTGCAACATCGTGAACTGCAGCTTTGGGGCCTGATCTAGTCGCGAAGAACTCGATCGTGGCCTTGTGGTATTCAGGGTCGTGGCTAAGAGGCATTTCGACAGCGGGCGTTTTCGGGTAGGCTCAATTGACGGCCGTGGCATAATCCGCCACTTCTTTTGGGTCGCATTGAGGGGTTTGCGGTTATAAAGCATTGCTTGAGGCAATGTGGGGTATTTCCAAGGTAGTATATCCATGATCGACCAACAAGAAGCCATCATAAGTTCCAAAAATGTACTGAAAGGGTATGGATAACCCCCTTCATAGGGTTGGACTGGCCATCACACTGCGCAGCTACTCTGGCAGTCATTGTCATTGTTCTTTGCATGCTTGTTACTGAATATTGTACATATAGAAGACAACGAGGGAGTTATGCTATGTGGCTAATCTCAGAGATCTCAGCCTGGCTCGTTTAAGTCAACTACATGGTTTCATCATTGTACTCTGGATATCGTTGGAGAACCAATCTTGCAGGGAACGACAACCACAGAGGACATATAACATCAGCTGCTACCTCTCTAATAGTAGTCAAATTAAGACCATCATTATTATTGATAATATTAATGATCATCTATTCTCTTCTCTCCATCGGCCCGAGAATCCCCTACCGTGACCCAAAACAGTAAGCGGTCAGGTGATACCATGCCTGTAGCTTCGAAAGTTCTGTTTTTCTGTCAGGAAAAGAACTTGGCTCTACCATAGCTTCACATTGCTTGCATTTCCCCCATTTCAAAGCTCCATATTCCTTCTTCGTCTTTGAAATAACCCCTCATCCATCATGTTCCAAAGAACTTTCCTCAGACAGGCCCAGGCTGCCAAGTCCGTTCTCTCTGTCCGCGCCACATCTACCACACCCTCAGTCATCCGCCGCACGTCACAGTTGCAACCACAGCTGCAGTCTGTTCGGCCGTTTGTTCGTCAGCCGACTTACCGCTTCTACTCGACAGAGAATCAAACTCAGAACGCTGAGAAGACCGAGGCCAAGGAAAATGAAGCTGCTGGGGAATCCTCGGAGGAGAGCCTCCGCAAGGAACTGGAGGCAAAGCAGAAGGAAATCGTTGATCTGAAGGTATTCACCACTGTTTATGCTTGGTGGAACATTCGCTGTTGCGATGGAATCCCACCCATATTCACAGTGCTGATTTGCTGATTTCTGGATAGGATAAATACATGCGTTCCGTTGCGGACTTCCTCAACCTGCAAGAACGCACCAAGCGTGAAATGGATAATGCCCGGAATTTCGCCATTCAGCGGTTCGCTGTCGACTTGCTTGAGAGCATTGACAACTTCGACCGGGCTCTCCTTGCTGTTCCTGCGGAGAAGCTTGACGCCGAAGTGACTGAGTCCAACAAGGAGCTGATGGACCTCGTGTCCGGCCTGAAGATGACCCAGAACATCCTGCTGAACACCCTGAAGAAGCACGGTCTGGAGAGATTCGATCCCAGTGAGCCCACTGAGGACGGCAAGCCCCAGAAGTTCGACCCCAACGTCCATGAGGCCACATTCATGACCAAGGTCGAGGGTAGAGAGGATGGCGAGATCATCCACACACAGAGCACCGGCTTCAAGCTCAATGGCAGGGTTTTGAGAGTAAGTCATTCCTCAATTGACCAGATTTATCCGGAGATCTAACCCTTGTCTTCACAGGCTGCCAAGGTCGGTGTTGTCAAGAACAACTAGACTTGAATCGTCACGGCATCCTGCTATGCTTAACTCGCCTGGCTGCGTTTACGCCCCCTCCTGCCACCTCTCGTCTTCTCACATCTATTCCTTGTACAATATACGGCATGTCTTTCTCGTCATGATGGGGTAATGCATTCATCGTCCTTCGATAAGGGCATAAGCTATTTTGTTTAGGATTTTCTTCATGCGACTGGAGGCGTCTGGGTTGTCTTCCCGTCGTATGGGCTTTTGATTTCTAATGTTTCACAAATCTCTCCTCCTATAATTGTATACTACACGCAGTCAGCAGCATGTTTTCCGTTTTCATACACCCTGAGAAAGGGCAATGTCGTCTTTGGAAGTCTGGCTTTGGATGTGGATGACCATGTGTGCATGGATTTATTAGATCTCGCCCTGGTAAATATGGGCGGGTGACCAAGAAGAAAATGAAAAATTTGATGACCAAGATGAGATTCGGTTCAATTCGTCGAGAGTAATATACAAAATGTATGAACCTTGGAGACGTAGTGATTCTATAATACAGGGTGATGTTTGATTCTTCATAACCGTTTACTACCGCAACTCGACGCCCAACTGGCCGACAAGCTTTTCGCGCAGTTGCTCATGAAGCTCATTAGTCTCTTCGTTGGTCAGGGTGCGCTCCAGACTCCTGTAGTTAATCCGGTAGCACATGCTCTTCCTGCCCGTCTTGGGATGGGTGAATTCATCGATGAGCCGTACGTCTTCGACGAGATCCCCCGCCACGCCGCGGACAATCTCCATGATATCGTTCTCGTGGATGGGCACGGCACCGCCCGCCGCACTGGCCCCGCTCGCGGCCGCCGACGGCAACCAGAATGCTACATCCTTGTAGCAGGCGGGGTGCTTGGAGAAGGGCTCGAAGCGGGTGATCTGGCCGGCCTTGAACTGCGAGAGGAAGCGCTCGTCGCGGGACCAGAAGAGCCGAATATCGGGGATGTTGAAGAGGAGCATGGCGATGCGCTCGAGGCCCAGCCCAAAGGCCCACCCGATGCGGTCCGGCACGTCCGAGTTGATGAGCAGGTCTTGCTTGATGACGCCGCAGCCTAGGATCTCGAGCCAGTCGCCTTGCCAGAAGACTTCGAGTTCCCACGATGGGCTGGTGAAGGGGAAGTAGGCCTCCACCCAGCGGACCTTAAGAGGTTCGGCTTGTGCCGCTGCGTCTGCGTTTGCGGCGGCGGTGGCTTTGCGGGCCTCCGTAAAGATCTTGACGACCATGCGTTCGAGCGAGCGCTTGAGGTGCGCCGCAACGGCCTCGACTTCCTCGGCCGTGTGGTGCTCGGCCTGGAGGGGGTTGCGCTCGGCGTGGATGGTCGGGTTGGGGTCTTCGACGGGGACGCCGTGCGCGGGGATGCGGTTCACGTCTTCCATGATGGCTGCAGCAGTGCGCGCGGCCTGCTTGAGCGGGTCCGTCGCCGGGCGCTTCCACAGCATGGCGCCCTCCATCTGGTGGAAGACGGGGTAGTGGCTGCGGTCGATCGCATCGCGGCGGTACACGTCCGCGACCACCGTGTACCCTACCTCCTTCGGGCGGGTGGCCTCGTTGCGGTTGATCTGCTGGAAGTACGCCTGTTGGTGGGCGCTGGTGTGTGTCCGGAGAACCGTCTTGTCGTTGATGTAGTATGTGTCCGTCCGGCTGCGGCCTGGATGGTCCGGCGCGAATCCCAGGACATCGAAGTTCTGCGCGACTGATACGACGGGGTTCTTCTCGGAGTAGTTACCGTATACCGGGCCGGGGAATTGGCTTTCGATCAGTTTGCGAGTGATTGCGAGAGGGTGGTTCTCGTCGAGATATAGACGACGTCCGACGTGCGACAGTATTGTGTCTGGGGTGTTGGTCCATTGGTCTGTACGGTAGGTCTGGCCTTCAATGGTCAATGACTGCGAAGGCGATGGACGAGCCGTAGCGTTGCTCTTTGTCTCTGCCTTTTCTTCTGTCTTCCGGCCGGCTGTCGAGCTCAAATGTCTTCTCGTAATGGTGACGGTGAGAGGTTCGGCGAGATGCAAGATCGATATGCGAGAGCTCCTCCGGGGGTTCACGACGGACCATCTGCCACTGCTGGCCCGTAGCGCTCTGCCGGTCGCCAACAAACGCATGGCTTTTATTCGGTGTCCGATAGGTCGCTAGCGGACGATGGCTGTGATATGATAGCAGTCGGTTGCGGAGATTGAAGCTGGAAATCAACAACTCGGGCCGGGGAAAAGAGTCGCCGGTGTTTATACATCAGGCAGTTGCTTCGCTTTCTACCTGCAAATTATTCTTCATTATAGAGAGGATGGCTATTGCAGTGGAATTACAAATTACAAAGCCATCTTAAATGTGGGTTTCGAATGATTATACATTCTCCGAAATCGTTCATCTCATCAACCTTGGCTGATAGGTGTCGTCCGTGTCAATAATATATATTTAGTTTGCATAATGAAAGTCATTGCAAGTTGACTGAATATTATATAACTATGCCTAAAGATGAATGAGAATATTTCAAATCATCGCTACCTCGCGATACATCATATCGGTTCTCAAGGTATATTTGACCCCTCGAAGTACAGGGTCCCCAGCATGAAGCAAGTGGTACTGCTGGAAGACCAACGCTGACCCTGTCTTAGGAAACACTCGAACTATACCATCTTCCTCCCCATAACTCGCACTGAAGGATGTTGCTCCTCCTAGGAGCTTTCCCGATAGATCCATATTGACGTTGCCCTGATGATCCGTCTCCGCCTTCTTACTCGCTTGTAGCAACTCCTCCAGATTTTGCTCTCCGTCGCCGTTCAGATATAAATGCAGAGTATAAAAGGACTCCTCCTCCTCATCTGGTGTGAGGTAGTTTGAATCCCAATGAGGTCGAAAGTATTCACCACCTTCGTATTTCAGGAACCGCAGTTTTTCATTCAGCCGCGAGAGTCTGTACGCCTTGCCTTGTCCATCGAGACCAGTCACAAGCGGCTGATTGCGGATGTGATCAACCCCCGCTTCTTTCAGAAATGGCATCAGGCGAGCGAGCAGCTTGTCCGCCAACTCAGAGGAATCGAATATGACTCTTCCGCAGTTGCGGTGGACTGTAGCAAGTATCTGTCCCCCACCTCCGGTGTTAATCATCGCGCGATCCCATGTTGGAGAGCCGGAAGTGTCTTTGACCGTCGAGGCTTCTGCAATGCGAAGCAACTCTTTGCATTCTTCTTCCGTCAGGACGTTGTCGATAACGACAGCATTATAATCCTTGTACTGGGGGATAGGCGGATCTGTATTGAGAAAACTGACCCGCCGAACAGTGGCATTGGACGGAGCCTGGGGAGGAAGAAAATCTTCAGCTACGCTGGATGATCCCATAGTGGCTCAATGGTGGGCTTATAAGTTGTTAGCCTTCTCGACTGTGGACAGGGGCTATCGCTTACCTTCTGTCATCTACCTCTCGAGAGGAACAAGAATTTTGTCAAGGGAAGTATGGCACGCCTTCCGCTTTGATGGCTGCGGTAATTTTAGAGGCCTGCCAGCGCCTTATGTACTGCAGCCTGACCCCAGGAGCATTGCGATTGAGCATTGGATGTCATTTGCTGGGTTCTCCTCACGAGGCTACCTGAGTTGGCTGATGCATTATTGGTCGCTGAGACGCAGTTAGCTGCAATCCGTAGTCGTCTAGGATTCACCCCAGATCCTTGTAGAACCTTAGCAGTAATATGTCTACGTTATCGAAGAAGGATATAAGTTTATTTCTCCGAATCTGTCCGTACCTATTTCTCGGGCCGTACGGAGTATGGGATCTGAGATAACTCGGATTTGCTTGGATCACTCCTCAGATCGCTCACTCATCAATTTCACATATATACATACCTTTAGTTCTCAGCTGCTATGAACAAATGTAAGACGTACTTCAGACTTAGTTACTGTGCCTATAACAATATGGACATCGTAGAATCAAAGCCAATCATCATATGCGATGAAAGTACTGTACTTGTGATGCAGCCCCGTACGTCAGATATAGATCATGGTACGGCAGTTGCTGGTCATCACCGTCGCTATCCGCGGTCCTGTATTACAACGTCGCTTTCACCAGTACTTTCGGATTACATACAGGGCAATTTCTATCTCTTTCAATGGTCAACTGTTCTGTTAATGATATTCAAGACAAGTTTGGGTGTCCCTATAGTCTCCAAATATAAAAGTATGACCGACATCGACCGATTATCGCCTTGTTTATCGGTTATTACAAGCCATGCAGACTGAAATACAGTAATATTACTGGTTATTACATCCAACTTGCATGACACACTCCAAAACCGAGGCCCTGATTGGCTGAGAGGACCCGGGATCGGTTGGCATTGCCGAAGCACGCAGGGCTCGGAGCCTTAATCTATCGCCGACTCAGAATTTATCAAAGACCCCTCTGGCTGACATAGTCCTACGAATTACGACTTATCGCGGCTATTAACATTGCTGTCTCGGTGATAGTACACCACCACTCTCCGCTCTTTCTTTTTCTTTTTGGTTCATGGCTGGAATGTCCACACCTTGTTGATCAAGATGGCTGGAAGTGGAAAGTTGGAGGATTCTCAGCCCGTGAGGGCTGTTGTAAAAAAAGTGCATTATCCTTTTTGGTTTGGTGGTTCTGCATCATGCTTTGCTGCAATGGTCACACATCCTCTGGATCTTGGTGAGTATACTTTGCAATGGCTCGTTTGAAGTATTCTCTGAGGACTTTTAACTGACATTGAACTTGCAGTAAAGGTATACCTCCTTATAGTCTGCGCGCACCGCTCGTCTCATCCGTCCCCTTCCGCTTTGTGTACACGACGCTGATTGATGCGCCGATGAAATACAGGTTCGCTTGCAGACACGCGGGCCAGGAGCGCCTACGACGATGGTTGGAACGTTTGGTCACATTCTTAAGCATAATGGAGTCCTGGGGTTGTATAGTGGGGTATGTACAATATCTGCATGGATCGTGTGTTAGGACGACGCAAAGAAGAAAGTCTCCGCAGATCGCTCACACCTGTGCCCTTTTGTAGCTCTCTGCGGCCATCCTCCGCCAAATAACCTACTCTACCACCCGCTTCGGAATCTACGAAGAGCTCAAGTCCCGCTTCACCTCGTCCTCGTCACCACCCGGACTCCCCACCCTGGTCGCAATCGCCTGCGCATCTGGCTTAATCGGCGGCTTCGCAGGAAACCCGGCCGACGTTCTGAATGTGCGCATGCAGCACGACGCTGCGCTCCCCGCCGCGCAACGGCGCAACTACAAGCATGCTCTTCACGGATTGGTGCAGATGACTCGCACGGAGGGCGCGGCGAGTCTCTTCCGCGGCGTGTGGCCCAATTCGACCCGTGCCGTGCTGATGACGGCCTCGCAACTTGCCTCCTACGATTCCTTCAAGCGACTTTGTCTCGAGAAGCTGGGAATGTCAGATAACCTTGTCACGCATTTCACTGCGTCCCTGATGGCCGGATTCGTGGCAACAACCGTCTGCAGTCCCGTCGATGTGATCAAAACCCGCGTGATGACCGCATCACCGGCGCAGACCCGGAGTCATAGCCTCCTGGGCTTGTTACGAGATATCTACCGCAAGGAGGGTTTCACATGGGTCTTCCGCGGCTGGGTGCCTAGCTTTATCCGGCTGGGTCCTCATACCATTGCCACGTTTATCTTCTTGGAAGAACATAAGAAGCTCTACCGAGCGTTGAAGGGGATTTCGGGGGACAACACCATCAAAGTATAGACTTCTTTTTGCAGCATATTGTTTTTGGGGTTTCATTTCTACATAGACTTCATGTACATGGCATCTGGCGAAACATATTGGGAGGGCAAAAGTCGTGTTCAATGCTGTATATAATCATATATATGTCCATGTCTTGTCATTTCGCTTGTTGTGTCTTCTACGTGTCGGTATTGGCTGTGGTTGCGGTGGGTGATGACCTGAAATACCTTCATGCCCTGCCTTGACATTGTGACGGTTACCTCTGTGTGTGAGGAAAGGTATAACCGAATTCGTTACTTGTACCTGCCGGCTGCCACTCTAAGAAAATCATATTTACTGCTGGAAGCATATATGTCAAGAAGAAGCAGAATTACAACGTCATCTTCATTGTGGGGAACTCAAGTACAGACTGCACGATGCTGGTGATAGGATTGATATACGGATGTTACCTTGGAAGATACGAGATGACCGAAATGCACACGAACGGCTCTTCAGACTAGGGTAAGCCTATATACACCATTCCCTCTGGCTCCCCAATGACGAAAAGGCCCCCCACAAAAAAGAGGATTTGTATTCCCGGTCTGATCACGTAGAGTACATGTTTGACACCAAAATATTCAACAGCTAATCGACAAGGACTAAAATCATCTACTCCAGACGAGCAGGGAAGTTTCCAGCCTCTGTAGTATTCCGTAGATTAGATTATCTTTCTCTGATAGAAGGAATGACAAATACGCACCGCGTTGGTTATCCCATCTGTCAGTCCAGGCCTTGGGGCACAGAGAGCGGAAAGCGTGGTAGAACTGTCATGCACGAGTCAGGACATCAATCCTACTTGATTTCGTTATTCCAGAATTTGGATTAAATACCTGACGGCATGGACGGAAATCCTCGCCCTTGGCGTTGACACACTTGTAGTAGTCCACGTAGTTCTGCCAGCAGTGCTTGGTCCTGAGGTTGGTATTAGCATTGTATCAGAGTCGATCGTTGATAGACAAAGAAAAGAAGACATACTGGTTCTGCTGGGGGAAGCGAGCGTCATAGCCTGTCGTTGCATCAGAAGTGGTCAGCATCATACGAGGTAGCACCAGCGACGAAAACCTGGACCAAAGCGGCACAACAGGCGAGCAAACGATCAATATCCTAGATTAAACGTACCAGCTGCAAGTAAGTTAGCAATTGAGCTTGATTCGAGACCATTGGCCCTGCAGACAGCTTCGGATGGACTCACCTGTCACGAACTTGAAGGGCTTGGTCTCCATGGGCTCATCGGGATCGGCTTCAGGAATGGCACCCATTTTGAATATGTGAGGTTGATAAAACCTTTTTAGACCGGTTATGGAGAAAGTGAGGGAGTGTGGAGGGTGGGAGGGGAGGAACGTCGTTCGGAGAAGGAGATGGGGAGGTTTGCGCCAGTGGAGTGGAATGATCCCGTGAAGCTGTGAAGCCGGAAGTGACCGCGGGCGGTCTAGCGAGCCACTCATGCGGCAAGATTTCCTAAACACCCGAACCAGCCCAGTCCAAGTGCTGCTCCCTTCGAAACGTCCCGTCCTGAGCTTCCGTCACCACATCCGGTCTTCTCATCCCACCACCACCACCACTACTCTTCCCACCAGGCATCGCTCTCCGCCATCGCCATGTTCCCTACTCGTGCTCTGAGGATGCAGGCCTCTCGGCCTTTTGCTTTCCCTACTCCTGTAAGTCTCCTATTTGTTGCGACTAGGTCAGAAAAAAAAGGCTTGGCAGACCACTGATGCTAACGGTCGTCTGCAGAAGGAGAACCAGAGTGGTATGACACGCCTCATGAGACACAATTGAAGCAGCAATTGCTATACTTGACGGACTGTGATTGTACTGATTGATCGGTAGCTCACACCATCTCTCAGCGTCTGCGGACCCTGAAGAGAGTTCCCCCCGAACTGATTCCCCTCGGTACGTTGCTAGTCTGGAGTTGATCGCTTTATCTGCACTCGTCTAACCACTATTGCGATTCGAATAGGTATTGTCCTTGGGTAGGTTTACACCGCGCCATTTCTATCTACAAGAGACATGGATTTCCCACCTGCCAGTCCCATCACCCCGCTGACGCAATTGTTACAGTGTTGCCGTCGGAGCTGCTATCTACTCTAGCACCCGCAAGCTCATGACCGACAAGACTCTGCGTCTCTACCGCAATAAGCCCGAGGACCGCGAACACTAAGCATGTACCAGCACATTTGATTGATTTGCAATGGACATTTCGTTCTGTCTGTCCGTTTGTTGAGGACCTGTATTATTCACAGACGTGATTTATCGCAGCAGAGAAAAATTGAAGTTGATTGTTTGAGCGTCGAAAGCGCGTGTATATAGTACGGCTTTGACCCAAGGGGGGGGCGCTCCGTTGAAGTAATATCGCATCTTTACTGGTGCCTGGCTTCCTTGTGCATTCAAATTTCGCGGGGTATCATGTAAAAAAAATCATTCTGGCTTTGGGCCAGCGACATCTAGCTCCTCTAATCCCTGCATGGGATCAGGTGCGCCTTCGCTTGCTGCTCTGGCCTCTGCTGCTGCCATCTTATCCTCCTCACTGACCGCGTATTTGGCCAAATATCCTTCCTGTACATCCGTAGTTAGCGGCACGTCTGAGTACGATCGGGTCAAAGGGACCTACCTGCTCCCAAATAGCTGTCTTGCTTCCCAGTCCCTCATTGCTTTCCTTCTGCGGCTTCGCGGCGGCGACCTTTATTGTACGGCCATACAGCTCGCTTCCATCCATATTGTCAATCGCTTCTGCAGCGTCTTCAGGCAGGTCGAACTCCACATATCCAAAGCCGCGGTGAAGATCGCCTGAGTTGGGCACATCAGGCTTGGGTAGCGTAATATCAACGACTTCGCCAAATGGGACGAATGCCTCGGCCAGTGTCTGCACGGTAACGGCCTGGTCGAGACCCCCCACATAGACAGTACATTTTAGGCGGGCCTTTTCGCTCATGGTGCAACCGATCAAAAGTATAGAGGGGAGGGATTATTGAGCCATATGAGTGCTGCCTGAAAACGAACGAACAGGCTTTGCGTCACGATCGCCTGGTTGATATCTGCTCCGCCCTCCCCCAAGTAGATTTCTTTGCCTGGACCCTCTGCGGAATCAATGATGTCACGTGCCTCCGCGGATGTTTTGGCGAGTCCCGATGGAGCTTAGCGTCACTCCCCCCGGTCCCCCTCCAGAAGGACACTTGGTTGCTTGAGCCCAAGGCATCGGATCATTCAGGTCTCGATCTCCTTGTAACTTATAAGCTCCTTTCCGTTTACTGACTAAGGAGGGGATCTTTGCTTCCGTGAGCTTATCTCTCCCTCAATTTCTTTCGCTCCATCTTTTTCTTTTCTCGTTTAATGATTATCATCATCAGACGGTTCTGAGTCTGATCTTCCCCTAATCTATACCTGTCATCCCGCACCTGTTACTTTCCAGCATGGTGCGTCTGAGGGAGATCCCCCGGACCGCCACCTTCGCCTGGTCTCCCGGTGCAGCATCGCCATTGATTGCTACCGGGACTCGGGCTGGCGCCGTCGATGTCGATTTCTCGAATGAAACATGTCTTGAGCTCTGGGACCTGGGATTGAGCAGCCAAGATGCCAGTCAGGAGCTGCAGCCCATTGCCAAGATTGGCACTGATTCTGGGTATGGATTCCTATATTGCTTAAATTCGACCCCTTCATTGCGCAGAGAGACTGACTCCTATTACTTGTAGATTTAATGACCTGGCATGGACAGATTCCGAGGACAACTCACGGGGGGTGATCGCTGGTGCTTTGGAGAACGGATCCTTGGATTTATGGGATGCCGACAAGTTAATCAACGGTTCGAGGTTCGTCCGCAGATAGAACCCCGGGCTATCATGAATTGGCTGACCGGACTACAACCAGTGACGCTGTCATTTCGAGAATGACCAAACATTCAGGGGCTATCAAGGCGTTGCAATTCAACCCGAAGCACTCGAATTTGTTAGCAACTGGTGGCGCAAAGGGAGAGGTAATTGTTCCACCAACTTATTACTCATGTTCTGGTGAGGCTCACTGCTGCAGCTCTACATCTCCGATCTCAACAACATCGCAAACCCCTACCGACTCGGAAGCGCCACTGCCCGCGCTGACGATATCGAATGCTTGGACTGGAATAAGAAGGTCGCACACATCCTGGTCACGGGTAGCAGTGCTGGTTTTGTCACTGTCTGGGATGTCAAAACGAAGAAGGAGAGCTTGACCCTGAACAATATGGGCCGCAAAGCTGTCAGCGCAGTAGCATGGGATCCTGAGAAGGTGAGCCTAAGCTGATCGACAGCAGCTGATGTTATCTCTGACTTTGGACAGCCCACGAAACTCATTACTTCCACACCATTGGAGTCCGATCCTCTTATCTACGTTTGGGATCTCCGCAATTCCCATGCCCCAGAAAGGGTGAGCTCCGAGTTCCCTATTCCTCCACAGGCAATAGTACAAATATGATTAACGCTCTCTAGACCCTTAAAGGACATGAATCAGGTGTGCTCTCGCTTTCCTGGTGTCCTCAGGATCCCGACCTACTTCTCTCCTCCGGCAAAGACAACCGCACCCTCTGCTGGAACCCTCAAACTGGACAAGCTTACGGAGAATTCCCTGTCGTTACGAACTGGACTTTCCAGACTCGCTGGAACCCACACAATCCGAACTTCTTTGCCACGGCTTCTTTCGATGGGAGAATTTCGATACAGACCATCCAGAACACTCGTACTGACACCGCTCGGGCTATCGCTGACCAGAATCAAGCTCTGGACGGGGCGGATTTCTTCGCGCAGGCACAGACGCAGCCCCAGGTTTCGAATTTCTCGCTCCCAAAGGCTCCGAAGTGGCTTGAGAGACCTTGTGGCGCGTCTTTCGGCTTCGGCGGCAGAGTGATTTCGGTTGGCCTAATCGAGAAGGGCAAGCGTGCATCGAAGATTAAGATCACCCCGTTTGAGGTTGACGAGGCTGTCGCAAAGTCTACGGAGACGTTCGAGAATGCGCTCAAGGAGGGTGACCTTCGGAGCATTTGCGAAACCAGAGCTGCTCAGGCCGCAAGTGATGAGGAGAAGGCTGACTGGAAGGTTATTGAAGCTTTGATTTCGGAAAACCCTCGCAAGGGTTTGATCGAGTACCTGGGATTCCAGGATCAAGCCGACGAGACCGCTGATAAACTGGCTCAGCTTGGTTTAGATAAGGAGGATGACGAGGTGAACGGGGAGTCGGCCAAAGAATCCCGCGGGTCGGGAGCCAAGAAGCACAAGCGCCTGCAGTCGATGTTTGACGCGAACCCTGAAGCTGACAACTTTCTGTCCGATTTAGCTGCATCGAAGGGAGCCAAGACCAACAACCCATTCCAGATCTTCAATGGCTCTGAGACCGAAGCGGACAAGGGCATTACTCGAGCCTTGCTTCTGGGCAACTTTGAAAAGGCACTTGATGTGGCACTGAAAGAAGACCGCATGTCAGACGCTTTCATGATCGCAATCTGTGGAGGCCAGAAGTGCATCGAGAAGGCGCAGGAGCATTACTTCTCGAAACAAACCGACGGGCCGAACTACATCCGCTTGCTTGCATCCATTGTTGGCAAAAACCTCTGGGATGTCGTACACAATGCCGACCTGTCTAACTGGAAGGAAGTCATGGCTGCGCTGTGCACATTTGCCGATGACAATGAATTTGCCGATCTCTGCGACGCCCTTGGTGACCGCCTGGAAGAGCAGATTCGAAGCACCGAAGACAAGAGCCTCCGCAAGGATGCCTCTTTCTGCTTCCTGGCTGGATCCAAACTTGAAAAGGTTGTTGCCATCTGGATCGAGGAGCTTCGCGAGAACGAGCAGAAGAGCATTGAGACGGCTGCAGACGATACTTCCTTCTCAATCCACGTTCGTGCTCTGCAGAGTCTGATTGAGAAGGTCACCATCTTCCGCCAGGTTACCAAATTCCAAGACACGGAACGTACCAAGGATGCCGACTGGAAGCTTAGTATGCTTTACGACAAGTATATTGAGTACGCCGATGTCGTGGCCACTCACGGACGACTGCAAGTTGCGCAGAAATACCTCGATCTTGTCCCCGAGAAGCACCCTGAAGCCGAGATCGCTAGGAACCGCATCAAGCTGGCAATGAGACACGCTGCACCACAGCGCTCACAGCCAACTCGTCCCACCACCAGGACCCCCGTCAACAAGCCCTTGCCACAAGCCAGCATTTACCCTGCGCAGCCCGCCTTCTCTGCACCTGCGGCTGCTCCAGCAGCTGCAGCTACTGCTCCTCGGAATCTTTATGCTCCACCAATGGCTGCTACAACGCAGCCCGCAAATCCTTATGCTCCTCCCACCGCAGCCACCGCCCAACCGCAGGCAAGCAACTTATATGCACCAACTGGCGGTGCAAGCTATGCTCCTGCAGGATATCAACCTCTGCAGGCGCCAGCCTATGGTGCTCAGCCACTCGGTGGCTCAGTTCCACCACCTCCTCGCGCCTCCAATCAGTCTCCTGCCACTGTGACCACATACACCACAGCGACTAATCTGCCAGCTTGGAACGACTTGCCGGAGGGCTTCACAAAACCTCCCACCTCCCGCAGGGGAACCCCCGCCGCTGCCGCGGCACCTATCAGCGCGCCTTTCCCCAACCAGTCTCCAACCCTTTCTCAGGGTCCCCCACCGCCTGGAGCCCCGCCTACTCAGCGGGCCCCGTCTGTCCCTCCTCCACCAAAGGGCACCGCTCCTCCTCCCCGAGTGACCTCACCACCGTCAACAGGCTTCACGCCTTCTACTAACGTACCGGGCCCTTCACCCGCGGCCAACCCCTACGCTTCTTTGCCTCAGTCCCCTCCAATGGGCTCGACCATCGGCATTCCTCCCCCCGCATCAATTCCGCGCGGGCCATCTCCGTACAACGCGCCGCCTTCGATGCCACCACCGTCGAACAGGTATGCACCTAACCCGGCGGCTCAAGCAGCAAGCCCGCAACTCTCCACCAGAGCGCCTGTTCCTCCTCCGCCGCAGGCAGCTGCTTCGCCCTACGCATCACAGCCAGCGTCGCATCCTCCGCCAGCAAATCCTTATGCTCCTAGCACGCCACCACCGAGCCAACTGCCAATGCAGCAAGCGCCACCCCCGGCTCCGTCTTCGAGGCCAAGCACCGCTTCGTCGCAACGGAAGACTGCGCCCGCTCCTC